TTGGTCCCAACCACCTGGAGTAAAGGAGAATGAAGAACACCAAAGACACAAGGAAAGTATTAACCCAAGAGACAGAAAGGGCCACATAAACCAGAGATTTCATCAGCCTTAGACCAGAAGAACTAGTTGGTGCCCGGCTACCACCAGTGACTGCCCTGACAGGGAACACAACGGAAAGTCCCTGATGTAGCAGGAGAAAGGTGGGGTGCAGAACTCAAGTTCTGGTGAGAAGACCAGACTTGATGGCCTGACTGAGACTGGAGGAATGCCAGAAAGCATGGCACCTGGATTCTCTGTCAGCCCAGAACTAAAACAATTTCCGAGGCTAACTCTTCAGACATGGATTGGACTGGCCTGTGGGACATATAGTGATACTCATGAGGAGTGTGCCTCTTGGCTCAAGTAGATGCAGGAGACTAAATGGGAAGCTTCTGTCCAGAGGTGAGATGGGAAGGCAGAGAGGGTTAGGAGCTGGTTGAATGGACATGGGGAATTGGGGGTAGAAAGGGGAAGTGTGCTGTCACAGTGTGGGGAGAGCAACTAGAGTCACATAACAATGTATGCATAAATTTTTGTATGGGAAAAAATAACACACCATATACTGAAAACCACTGAATTTTACAGTTGATCATATGTGACTTATATCTCAGTAAAGCTGACGTTAAAAAAATAGCACACTATAAGAAAATGAAAAAAAAAAAAAAACTATACACATGGACTCTGCATAGAGAAAGATTTCCTAGTTATAACACCAAACACGAAGAAGGTTATTGGCTTGATAGTGTGTAAATTTAAAACTTATTTATGTCAAAAAAGCAAGTTTGTTCTTTTTAGAGAGTTTATTTTTGTTAATAAGAGATGAAAAGGTAATTGGGGGAACTTTTTCACTATGTATAAGATAGATTAATGTTTAAATTTTTAATATAAAGGATTTATACAAACCCTTAAACAGTCAACTGATGTGAAGGATTGAGCAACAGAAGAGTAAATAAAATTGATTAACAGACCTAAGGAACAATCAGCTAGTAATCAAAGAAATTCAAATAAAAAAAGAGGTACCACTTTTAGCTTATTATACCAGCAACAATTAAGTAAAACAAACAAGCAAACAATAAAATACAGGTAAGGATGAAGAGAAAAGAGCACTCTCACAGACGATTGGAATGTAAATCATTAACAGTTTTATAAAATATTTTGGTAACATATATCATGAGTCTTAAAATGTTCCACTCAGTATCTACACTTCCAAGAATTTATTTAAGGGGGGAAAACCTATATACATGGTTTATTTATAAAAATTTTCATTTTATAAGTATTTATAATATTTAAAATAATTAGAAAAAGCTAATCATCCAGATGGGAACATGGTTATAGAAATCTTGGCATTATTTGCATAATTAATATTACATACCTTAATGTAATGTTAATTATGCAAATGTTTATGTAAGGTTTTAATAATAGTACACAAAACAATCATCTTTTATTATTAAGTGAAAAATCATCATCTTAACAATAGAAATTAAATGCATACAGAAAGGGACTATAGGTTTTGAGTAAAATATTTACAGTCATTTCTTTTAAAAGAGGGATTTAAAAATTTTTTCATTATTAAATTATTCTTGCTCTCTCAAGCAACACACACAAGTTGCCCACTTGGTACCATATTCTCCATGTTGCCAATTCCTGTGAATGAGTTTTCTCCAACACTGGGCTTGGAATTGGTCCCTGAATCCCAGTGCACTTGACTAAGTTCTTCATATGTTCCCAGTTTTGACAGCATTTCTTGTCATTGGGACGACTTTGTAATCCTACCCTGTGCTGCTACGTGGCTTCCTCCTAGAACCCAAGTTTTGTCTGATGTCATTATTTTGGTGTTTCACCACTCTCTAGATTAAATTATCTTGGATATTTATCCCTACTAAATCAAGTCACGTTGTAGGGATTGCCAGCCAGTCCCTCTCTCCAGCTGCAGCTCTGTCCTTGGTTAGTTGCTTCTATTCCCATTCTGTCAAGTCAGAGCCTTCATTTTGTTGAACCTGCTTGTGATACTCAACATCCATCCTGCTTTGACTGTGAACCTTTCAAATTTATAATGAAAAAGTCCAGGGAGAAAGGTATGTTGAAAAGCCTGGGCCTGTACTTCAGGGAAGGACCCTTTATAGAGTAGAGCATTTTCCCCAGCCAAGGAGTTTCCACAAAGCATCCTTCATGTCCCTGTTCCTCAGGCAGTAGATAAAGGGGTTCAACATGGGGGTGACCATAGTGTATATCACAGATGCCAACATTCCAGTATCTGCTGAGTAGGAGGATGATGGCTGAAAATAGACAAGAAAGAGAGTCCCATAGAAGAGAGTGACCATTGTTAGATGACAGCCACAGGTAGAAAAGACTTTGTACTTCCCCCCAGCAGAGGAGACCCTGAGGATGGTGTGGATGATGTAGGCATAAGAGACCAGGACACAGGTGAGAGGGACCACACCTGAGAGGGCTGCTTCAATGAACATCGTAGCCTGAAAGATATGAGTGTCTGAACAGGCGAGCTTGAGGAGCGGGATAAGATCACAGAAAAAGTGTGGGATTGAGTGAGAGGCACAGAAAGAGAATTGAGCCATTTGGAGAGTGAGTGAAAAGGCAAGGAATTGAGAGCAGAGCCAGGACGTGGCCACCAGCAACAGGCAGCGTTGTGGCTGCATGGTCATGGTGTAGTGGAGAGGAAGGCAGATGGCCACGTAGCGGTCATATGCCATCACGGCCAACAGAAAGTCATCCAGCAATGTCAATGCCATGAAGACGTACATTTGCACCAGGCAACCAGTGTAGGAGATGGTGTGATGCTGTGTCTGGATGTTCTCTAGCACCTTGGGCACAATGGTGCAGGTGAAGCAGGTATCGATGAAGGACAGGTTGGCCAGGAAGAAGTACATGGGTGTATGGAGGTGTGTGTCAGAGCTGATGGCCAGGATGATGAGCAAGTTTCCCAACATCGTCACCAGGTACATGCCGAGAAAGAGCCCAAACAGAAGAGGCTGCTGCTCTGGCTGCTCAGAGAAGCCCAGAAGAATGAAGTCAGAAATCCTGCTTTGGTTTGGTTTCTAATGTAGAGAAATTAATGGAGAATCCTGCTTAACTAGAGCCAGGCTCTAAAAGTTACTGAGTTCAAGGATTTTAGTCTGTTTGTCCCTATCCCCTGAGGAGGTCACTGAGATTTACTAACAGCTGTATTAGCAGATGTGCAAATATGTACAAATATGTGAGGCATTTTGGTGGGGGCATAGTCTGAGTTCTAGATTCTTATGATAAGGAAAGTTGTCCCCGTACATTGCTTGAATGAGACTGAATTGGAGTTCACCTGGAATAAACCCCTCCAAGTTTTAATTCCTTCTTTCTTTGGCTTTAGAATAATTATTTTAACCTTGACACTTTATTGTGGCATTCATTTTGGGATCATGCAAATACTAGTATTTAGTGGGCAACAGTGGGTCCTCTGAGTGTCTGTGTGTAAGTGTGTGCATGTGTATTAAGGGAGATGAATGAAGAAATAATTTCTTCAGAGAGGATCCAGCTGAGACTGAGGAGTCTCTAAGTGTGCTTGCAGTGCTCTGCCACTTTTGCCTTTGAAGACCTTTTGAGTTATTGTGGGTATGAGAACTTTGTGAACTTAAATCACTTTATCAATAAAGGCCACATTTTCATTTTTGTCATCAACCTTACCATCAGTAACCTCAGTTTTAAGATCATGAGCTTTGGCGTCTATTGACCCAAATCCCCAGGATCATTAACTGTAAAATGTGGGAACATAAGTCTAGCTTAATTATTCACTGGTTCAGATTAAAAAAAAAAAAAAAAAGAAATAATGTTAACAGGCTCAGTAACCTGTAAGTATACAGAGAGAAGTAAATTACTGGTATTGACCTAAGGTGGTGGCTTAGAGTGATTCTGAGGACCACCTCTGTCCAAGTGGACTAAGGGTGAATCGTGCCATGTAGTTGCACAGGTGCTAGGTCTTGGTCTCTGAAGGGACATGGACGTGCAAAAGGGTGGCCTGAGACTCTTTCTCCACAGTGACCTCAGACTGGACCTCAGGGCCTGATGAACACCAGAGCTAGGGACTTCTTAAAGTGATCAGAAGGTCAAGGAAATGATTGAGAGGGAGGAAGGAAGTGTGTGTGTGAATGTGTGTGTGTGTGTGTGTGTGTGTGCGCCTGAGAGATACTCTGCTCTCTGTCCTCTTCATCCCTATGCCTCTATTCTTACCCGGAGATGCTGGACAGCTTCAGACCCTGACATCATCACCAAGGAGATTGTGTTCGCTGCCCCTTTGGCTTCCCAGAAAGACACAGTTGGAACTGCAGAGACTTTCCCTCTCTTCAACAGCAGCATAGATTGAAGGCTCCAGACTGGCAGTACCTGACCTCAGGCACAGGAGTCAGGAAGAGCTGTTGGCTTTTGACATGGAGTGTCTCCTGGGACCCAATCCCAGACCTCTTAGTTAGAGATAAGATGGGGCAATTGTTGAACCTCTTGTCTCCTGTAGACTGTGGCCCCTTGAGTCTCAACAGTTTCACAGATTCATTCAGAGTGACCAGGGGTGGGATCCATGACGGCGCAGCTGCTGGTATTTTTTCCTTAGGGTGAGATGCAAGTTGGATTCCCCTTCCCTATCCCTAACTCTGAGCATGACCCTTTCCTGTCATGGAGACCATAGTTAGAGCCCAGTCCTCATGGATGAAACATATGTTCCAGAAAAGAAGTAAAAGGAAAAAAAAATAGATTAAAGGTCACAATCATTGCCTTCAAATGTTACATGCAAAAGGGATGGAGAAACTTTGTCTTGTGTACTTTGGACATGACATCAGGAGGGACCAGTCCCTGGAGAAGGACATCATGCTTGGTAGAGTAGCAGGTCAGAGAAAAAGAGGAAGACTCTCAATGAGATGGACTGATACAGTGACTGCAACAATGGGCTCAAATATAGCAATGATTGTGAGGATGGCACAGGACTGAAGAGTGTTTCATTCTGTTGTACGTAGGGTCGCTATGAGTTGAAACTGACTTGACGGCACCTAACAACAACTGTATATATATATATGTATATATACACACATATATGTATGTATATATATTTATATGTGTGTGTATATGTATATAAAACAAAACATTTGCCGTTTCAATATTTGTGACATGTAAATTCAGTGAAATTATGTTTATCATGTGCAACCATCATCACTATCTGTTTCCAGATTTTTCCATCATCCTTAACAGAAGTTCAGTGCCCCCTAATCAAAGCCTCCTTCTTTACCCCTCCTACCTCTGGTGACCACCAATAAATTTTGATCTCTATTGTTATTATTAGGTGCTTTTGAGTCGTCTCCGATGGCACATGACTCATAGCAACCTTATGTACAGCAGAATGAAACATTGGCAGGTCCTGCACCATTCTCACCATTGTTGCTATGTTTGAGCCCATTGTTGCAGCCATTGTGTCAGTCCATCTCATTGAGAATTTCCCTCTTTTTCACTGACACCCGACTTTACCAAGCATGATGTCTTTCTCCAGTGATTAGTCCCTCCCGATAACATGCCCAAAGCGGGATGAAGTCTCACTATCCTCGCTTCTAAGGAGCATTCTGGCTGTACTTCCTACTTCCTCCAAGACAAATTTGTTCATTCTTCTGACAAGTCCATGGTATATTCAGTATTCTTTGCCAGCATCACAATTTGAATGTGTCAGTTCCTCTTTGGTCTTCCTTTTTCATTGTCCAGATTTTGCATGTTTATGAGGCAATTGAAAATACCATGGCTTGGGTCAGGTGCACCTTAATCATCAAAGCGACATCTTTACTTTTTAACACTTTAAAGAGGTCTTTTGCAGCAGATTTGCCCAATGCAATATGTCGTTTGATTTCTTGACTGCTGCTTCCATGAGCATAGGTTGTTGATCCAAGAAGAATGAAATCCTTGACAACTTCAATTTCTTCACCATTTATCATGATGTTGTTTGTTGGTCCAGTTTTAAGGATTTTTGTTCTCTTTATGTTCAGATGCAATCCATACTGAAGGCTTTAGTCTTTTACCTTCATCAGTAAGTGCTTTAAGTTGTGTTCACTTTCAGCAAGCAAGCTTGAGTTGTCTGTATATCTTGAGTTGTTAATATGTCCTCCTCCAATCCTGACGCCACATTCTTTTTCATCTAGCCCAGCTTCTTGGATTGTTTGTTCAGCATATAGGTGGATGAGTAAGGTGAAAGAATAGAACCCTGCCACACTCCTTTTCCAATTTTAAATCACGCAGTAGTATCCCTTTGTTCTATTCTAACGTCTTCCTCTTGATCCATGTACAGTTTCCACATGAGCACAATTAAGTGTTCTGGAATTCCCATTCTTCCCAATATTATCCATAATTTCTTATGATCCACACAGTCAAATGCCATAATGTAGTCGATAAACACAGATTAACATCTTTCTGGTTTTCTCTTCTTTTGGCCAAGATCCATCAGACATCAGCAGTGATATCCCGCATTCCATGTCCTCTTCTGAATCCAGCTTGAACTTCTAGCAGTTCCCTGTCTGTGTGACTGCAGCCATTTTTTAATTATCTTCAGCAAAACTTTGCTAGTATGTGATACTAATGATATTGTTTGATAATTTCCTCATTCTGTTTGATCGCCTTTTTCTGGAATGGGCACAAATACAAATCTCTTCAAGTCAGTTGGCCAGGTAGCTGTCTTCCAAATTTCTTGACATGGATGAGTAAGTGCTTTCAGTGTTGCATCTGTTCATTGAAGCATCTCAATTGGTATTCCATCTCTTCCTGAAGCCTTGTTTTTTGCTAAAGCCAGTCCTAGGCCATCCCCATGGTTGGTTGCAGATTGGACCATTGTGGTCCATAGACTGATTGGCTGATTTTCAGACGTAGATTGCCAGGTCTTTCTTCCTAGTCTGTCTTATTGTGGAAACCCGTTCAGCATCATAGCAACACACAAGCCTCCACTGACAGATAGGTGGTGGCTATGCATGAAGTGCAATGGCTGGAATTGAACACAGGTCTCTGTCATGGAAGGTAAACATTCTACCGCTGAACCACCAATATTGCTAAAAAATCAAAAATACAAACCAGTTGTAGTTGAGTTGATTCCAAGTCATGGCAACCTCATGTGTTTCAGAGTAGAACTGTGCTCCACGGGGCTTTCAATGGCTGTGATCTTTCAGAAGTAGATCACCAGGCCTTTCTTCTGAGGCACCTCTTGGTGGATTTGAACTGCTAACCTTTCAGTTAGTAGGTGAGCACTCAACTATTTGCACTACCCAGATTTATATATATATAGGAAACCCTGGTGGCATAGTGGTTAAGAGCTATGGCTGCTAACCAAAAGGTCGGCAGTTCGAATCCACCAGGCGCTCCTTGGAAACCCTATGGGGCAGTTCTATTCTGTCCTATAGGGTCATTATGAGTCAATATCACAATAAAAATTATTTAAAAAATAACAATAAGAACACAGCAACCTAATTACAAAACGGGGAAAAATCTGAGGCAATACCTCACCAAAGAAGGTATACGGATGGCTAATAAGCATTTGAAAGGATGCTTAATATCATGTCGTTAGGAAATTGCAAATTAAAACAACAATGAGATACCATTACACAACTATTGGAATGACTAAAATCCAAAACACTGACAACACCCAGTGCTGTGAGAATGTGCAGCAACAAGAACTCGCCTTTATTGCTGATGGGAATTTGAAATCTACAGTCACTTTGGAAGACAGACTGGCAGTTTCTTACTAAAGTAAACACAAGCTTACTGTACGATCCATCAGTCCCTCTCTGTATTAGTTTCCTAGGGCTGCAGCCACAAAGTACTGCAAAGTGGGTAGCTTATAAGAACAGAAACTTATTGTCCTCCTTGACTCCCTCCTTCAATTCTTATATCTTTAATCAACACACACTTATGTAGCACCTCCCAAGTACTGAAGTTTGTTTCAAGCTTTCCAGAAACACCAATTTATCTAATCATCACTACAAACTCATGTGACAGGTATACTACCATAGGGATGAGGGAAATGAGCACCGGGAGGCTAAGCAGCCTTCTCAAGGTCACACAGACAGCAAGAGACAGTCGGGATCTAAAACAGGCAATCTGTCTCCAGAATTCTTGCTCCCAACCACTAAGCTATCCTTCCTCTCAGAAATAATAGTAGTATGCAATCTTTGCTCGGTGTCAGGTACTGTTCCATATGCTTTACTTGCATCAACTTTTTAAACCCTCGCAACAGTTTATGGGAGGTATTTGAATATAGTGGTTAAAAGCTCCATTGTCAAAGTCAGGCTGCCATGGTTCAAATCTGAAATCTGTCCTTCACCACATAGTGAAGCTGAGAGAGCCACTCAAGTCTCTGTATTCCAGTCTCCTTAGTTGAAAAATGGATAGAACAACCCTCATCACATTGGGATGCTTACAGAATCAAGTGGGACAATGTATCAAAGCACCCAGAGGAGTGCCTGGCACATAGCAAGAACCCAGAGGCACCTATTATTATAAAAAATATTATTTTCAGTATATACCAAGCACTAGAAATCTGGTGGAGGATCAGATAGCTAGCACAAGGCATCCACAAGGGTTTACACCAAAGGTGTCTGATTGTGTGACCTTACGTGTCTCTTTCTAAATATGCCCATCTCATTCTTTCCTCCATATCTTTCCTTATGCTGGAATGCCCTTCCTACTTCCATCTTTACCTGCTGAAATCTTCCCTATCTTTTAAAAATTTAAAACATCTTTATTGAGCTATAATTCACGTTCCAAATAATTCACTCATTTGAAGTGTGTCAAAGGCTATTCACAGAGTTATGCAACCATTATCATTGCCTATTTTTAGAACATTTTCATCACCTCCAGAAGAAATCTTGTACCCATTAGCTGTCATTCCACATTCCCTGTTCCCTCAGTACTAGACAACCATTAATCTACTTTCTGTCTCTCTATTTTCCTATTCTGGAAATTTTATATTAGTGGAATCATATACTATATGGTCTTTTGTGACTGGCTTCTTTCACTTAGCATGTTTTCAAGGTCCATCCGTGTTGTGGCATGTGTCAGTACTTCCTTTCTTTTCATTGATAACTAAAATTTAACTATATGAATATATAATATTTTGCTTATCAACTCATCATTTGATGAACATTTGTATTGTTTCTTGGAAATTCTACTTAATTTTTGTTGTTTCATGTCAGTTGCTCCTCTTCATGAAACCTTCCCCAGTATGTACTCCACTGTGTCCCTGTGCACATGTGTGCAACCCCCTCCTCCAAAACATGGATGTGATCTCTACCTTTCTGAGTTTCCAGAGCCTTGATAAAGGCAACTTATGCACCTTATATCACATTATAATTATTTACATGAATATGTGGTCTTCTACTTGTTGATCTCCACTTTCTTCATCAAAAATGTCATTAAATTTCTAGGTTGCACCCAATTATATTAACTTGGACAGTTTAATTTTGCCCAAATGTTAAGAAACTCTACTGGAGAAAGAGTTTTAAACTCATCTTAAAGTCAAACTTTTAAATTCAATTTTATGGATCATAGTCTTTTCTTCAAATGTATATTGGGAGAGAAGTCTTGTGATGTCCTTCTTTTCTGGGTGCATAATATTATTTATTATTTTCATGGTAAATGGTCCTTAGAGAATTTCTGGAGCCAAGACTGATCACCTCATTTTGGAATGTGCCAAGTTTGTTTTCCCAACTGATGTTCACTGAGCACCTACTCTATGCCAGGCATTCTTCTAGCAAAGAGAACAGAGCAGTGAAGAAGACTTCTGCCTTCATTAAGATTACATTGTAGTGGGGGCATCAGGCAAATAGGTAAACTATATGTACATCATCTGTAGATAAGTGCTATGGGGAAAAATAAAGGAGGGAAGGGAGATAAGGTGTGCTGAGGCAGGAAGCGGTTTTGCAATTTTGTATAGGGTGGTGAGAGGAGGTGACAGTTGATGAAACACTTGAAGGAAGACAAAGAACAAAATTGTCTTGGGTTAAAAAAAAAACAACCAAAGTGTTATTGTCTGAATTGTACATATTAAAAGAATCCAGTGCCTATTAGAATCATGAAAGTTTATAAGACAAGGTATTTGAGGACACTGTCAGGAATGTCTTATAATAATTAGGTTAAAAAAGAAAAAAGAAAAATCGTTCTCATAGGACTTGGCATTGAATGTAATAGGTTGAAAAAATTCCAAAGTGTCCTTTTTTCCTAGTTTACTGAATTAGAATATTGTTTCTAATAGGTCTGGCTTTAATTGGTCCCATCTGTAATCAATCATGGGGATGGCACAGGACTGAGCAGCATTTCAATCCATTGTATACGAGGTCGCCATGAGTTGGGGCCAACTTGATGGCTAACAACAACAATAGGGCTTTAATATATGTTAGTAAACAGAGACATAGATAAATGGTTAGTAGTTCTGATTCGTCTGGGCCAATGCGACATACTGGTTGTCAAGGAGAGAGTCTTAATTGACCCGGAGGAGGAGAAGGTACCACAGAAAAGGAACAGACTGAGTAAAAGCCTGGTGGTGGAATGAGCGTATGGTGTATATGAGGGAATATAGTTCAGTGACAGTTAGCATTTTGATCTGTTAATGATAGCGTGGCACAAAAAAAGGAGGAAACATCTGTAGAAAGAGGGATCTGTTGGGAGAGAATCACTTCGACTATTTGATATTTTTCTAAAATAATATATTATTTCATGACAATATGTACCATAAGAAAGTGAAAAAAATGTTGACTGTTCATATGGACTCGGCATAGAGAAGAGTTTTCTAATTATAACACCATCAGAAGGGAACACAGAGAAGGAGATCTCTTGGTATGATAAAATGCAAGTTGAAAGCTTCATTACATAAAAAAAAGAGCACCAAGTTAAACGAGGAAGAATAAACTGGGAATATCAGCAAAACAAAGCAGACAAGGATATGATATCTTTAATATACAAAAGGCTTATACAATTAAAAAAAAAGCCAGTAGATAATGGGCACATGACATGAACAATTAATTTATTATTGAATAAAATATTGGTTAACAGAGTTAGGGACAAGGTGTCCCTTACAATAACCAAAGAAAATAAAAGCAAAGAGACTCATTTTGATTATGATATTAACTACAATTAAGGGGAAAATATCAACATAAAATTCTAAAGAGGCTGCAGAGCAATAGGCACTCTTGTTTGGGTACTCTGACAACATCATAAAGAGCCCTAAAAAGGTTCTACTTAGATGCTTTACTTTTGAAAACATATTTCAGGAAGCAACATAAAAATATAAAAGTAATGTGTATTTCGGAGCTTTTCAGAGTATTTTTTTTATCTATAATAGCGAAAGTTTAGAAATAACCTAATCATAATAAATCTCACTTCTAATGTAATCTTAAAGAACCAAATGTTTATGAAGAGTTAATAATAATATAGAGACAACTCATGCTGTAAGATTAAGGAAAAAAATATAATTGTACCTGTTGAATTTTCTCAATAAAGTAAAAGACAAAAGCAATTAGAAAAATACAGAAGGGAAATGATGTGAAATATTAACAGTGGTGATCATTAAATGGAATTATGGTGAGTATTATTTCCCTTTTTTCTATCTGGTTATGTTTTACAAATGTACTATAATGAGCATGAATTGTTTTTCAGTAGAGACAAAAGAAATCAGAGTTTAAAACTAAAGAATAAAATATTTGTCAGGATAACTAATAAACACTCACTACCAGAGTCTTAGATCTAATCCCAGTTGTGTGATACTGGACCAGTCCCTCGATCAATCTATGCTTCTTTTCCTCCTCTACAATTATTCCTGCCCTCTAATTCCAGCAAATAACGTATCTTCTTGGTTAGGCCTTCTCTGTGTGGAAGTCAGTCCCTATGAGTGAGTTTCTTCCAAAGCAAGGCTTAGAAATTGTCCCTGAAATGTCTTGTTAGCATTTCCTGTGATGGGTGGGATATGTTAGTTATAGACTAAGCTGATAACTAGAGTTCTTTCTAGAACTCAAGTTTTGTCTGATGTCATTCTTTTGGTGGTTCTTAACTCTCTGTATTGAATCTGCTTGGATACCTATACCCACTAAATCAAGACACACTGTAGGGGATTGCTGACCTCTCCCTCTCTCCAGGCTGCAGCTCTGTCCTTGACGAGTTGCTTCTATTCCTGTCTTGCCATGTAAAGCATCCTCTTTTTGTTAACCCTGCTTGTGATGCCCAGCATCCAACCTGCCTTGAATTTGAGCTTTTTCAGAATTATAATGGAGAAGTCCATGCAGGAAGGCATTTCAAAAGGGCCGGGTTTCTTGCCTGGTGAAGGACTTTTTATGGAGTAGAGCATTTTCCACAGCCAAAGAGTCTCCATAAAGCTCTCTTCATGTCCTTGTTCCTCAGGCTGTAGATAAAGGGATTCAACATGGGGGTGACCATCGTGTATATCACAGATGCCACTATTCCAGTATTTGGTGAGTAGGAGGATGATGGCTGAAAATAGACCAGAAAGACGGTTGCATAGAAGAGGGAATGAGGGCCACAGGTAGAGAAGACTTTTTGCTTCCCCCCAGCAGAGGGAACCCTGAAGATGGTGTGGATGATGTGGACATACGATGTCAGAACACAGGTAAGAGGCACCACACCTGAGAGGGCTGCTTCAATGAACATCATAACCTGAAAGATATGGGTGTCAGAACAGGCAAGCTTGAGGAGCGGGAGAAGATCACAGAAAAAGTGTGAGATGGAATGGGAGGCACAGAAGGAGAACCGAGACATCAGGAGAATAAGTGAGAAGGCCAGGAAGTGAGAGCAGAGCCAGGATGTAGCTACCAGCAGGAGGCAGCATTGTGGTCGCATGATCGTGGTGTAGTGGAGAGGAAGGCAGATGGCCACGTAGTGGTCATATGCCATCACGGCCAACAGAAAGTCATCCAGCAGGGCAAATGCCATGAAGAAGTACATCTGCATCAGGCATCCAGTGTAGGAGATGGTGTAATGCTGTGTCTGGATGTTCACTAGCACCTTGGGGACAATGGTGCAGGTGAAGCAAGTATCAATGAAGGACAGGTTGGCCAAGAAGAAGTACCTGGGAGTGTGGAGATGAGGGTCAGAACTGATGGCCAAGATGATGAGAAGGTTCCCCAACATGGTGACCAGGTACATGCCCAGGAAGAGCCCAAACAGGAGAGATCGATGCTCCAGCTGCTCAGAGAAGCCCACAAGGAAGAAGTCAGAGATTCTGGTTTGGTTTCTAATTTCCTTGTAAGGTAGAGAAGTTAGTGGAGAATTCTGCTTAAATAAAACCAGGCTCTAAAAATTAGAGACCGAGCACTTTGATCTGTTTTTCTCTATTCCTTGAGGAGGTCACTGTGATTCACTGTAATATGGCTAAAACTCCAGGTGTGCAAATATGTACAAATAGGAAGTGTGTGGATTAAGATTATGAAGCATCTTGATGAGAGTGTAGTTTGTGTTCTTGATTCCTGTAAAGAAAATTATCCCCATACATTGCCTAAATGAGACTGAACTGGGGTTTGTATTGTAAATACTTATGCAAGATTTAATACTTTTTTTTTTTTAACTTTAGAATAACTGTTTCAACTTCGTCACCTTATTGTGGAGCTCATTTTAGGATCATCCATGTACTGGGATTTAGTGGGCAGTACTGGGTCCTTTGTTGGTTTGTGTGTGAGTGGTCTGTGTGCTTATTGATGGGGATGTCGGAAGAAACAGTCCCTCAGAGAGGAACCAGCTGATACTCAGGAGTCTCTGACTGTGCTGGAGTGCTCTGCCTTCAAAGGCCATCCCAAAGAGTTAACGTGAATATGAGAACTTTGAAAACTGAAACACTTTTTATGAATTAAGGTACATCATTTTCATTTTCATCTTGAAACTCAACACCAGCATCTTTGATTTTAGATCATGGGCTTTCATCATAAGAATACCTCCTCTGCCCCTTATTCACTGGTCAATTATTTAACTTATCTGGATATCTGTCTCCTAATTTTTACACTGTGCATGCACCTTTTCATAGAGTCGAAAAGTTATAATTGAATAATATATACAGAGGACAGTCCTTCAATAAGTGTGGTAATAGTCATTATCATTATTATTAGTAGTTGATGAAATGTCTTCATGGATTGAATTGTGTTCCCCCAAAATATATGTCAACTTGGTTAGGCCATGATTCCCAGTATTGTGTAGTTGTCTTCCATTTTGTGATTGTAATTTTATGTTAAAGAGGATTAGGGTGGGATTGCAACACCCTTACTAAGATCACATCCCTGATCCAATGTAAAGGGAGTTTCCCTGGGGTGTGGCCTGCACCACTTTTTATCTTACAAGACATAAAAGGAAAGGGAAGTGAGCAGAGAGGGGGACCTTATACCACCAAGGAAGAAGCACCGGGAGCAGAGCACGTCTTTTGTACCCAAGGTTCCTGCTTGGAGAAGCTTCTAGTCCAGGGGAAGATTGATGAGAAGGACCTTTCTCCAGAACCAACAGAGAGAGAAATGCTTCCCCTAGAGCTGATGCCCTGAATTTAGACTTCTAGCCTACTACACTGTGATAAAGTTCTCTTTCTCAAAACCATCCACTTGTGGTATTTTTGTTATAGCAGCACTGGATAATTAAGACAAATGTGAATCTGGAACCTAAGAGCCGATGGAAAACGTTGGGCAATGTGCTTTCCAGCCTTGTTACTTACATCACTTTTTTACTGTGGGAATTGTTTACCTCCTTTGAGCCTTCTTTTCGTTATCTGTAAGATGCAGATAATAACCCTACCTCATAGATTTGTTGAGGGGACAAATGTTGGAATCAATTGAAGTTTCTTCATGAACAATGATATGCAATCAAAATCAGAGATTCCAACTTCCCTGTCTGATGGTGTGAAGGAATAAATGAAGTGAATAGTCAGGGGCTGCATGTGTCAATGTCACACTTGTTGAGTGTCCAGAAAAAACCATTGCCTTTGAGTCAATTCCAACTCATAGTGACCCTATGGGACAGAGTAGAACTGTCCCATAGGGTTTCCAAGGAGCAACTGGTGTATTTGAACTGCCGACCTTTTGATTAATAGCCTGAGCTCTTAACTACTATGCCACCAGGGCTCTGCTTGTTGAGTGCAGTGGTTAAAAATATCCCCTCTGGAGTCAGACAGACTTTCCCCTTCTTTACTTTCTGTATCACTTTGAGAAAATCACCTAGATTTCTGGGCTTCAGTATCCACGTCTGTTTAAATGGGATAATAATAATGTCTGTTGTATAGAGTGGTTATGAGGATCAAATTAAACAATGATTATTAAATATTTTAGAACATCGCTGGCACACAGTAAGTACTCAATATTGTTGTTGTTAATCAAATGTGGCACCTTGTCCTGTATCATTGAATCCTGGTCACTGTCTGAGGTTTGTGCTTGTAAATTGTGAGGAATATCAAGTCATCATAGTCATCATTATCACCACCATCTTTGAATGGTTATGACTATACTAAAACCTACCAGTGGCAAAGCATTTGTCTTGGCATCTGGAAACCACATGAACAGTTGTTCAAATAATTTAATAATCAGAGCCAAGTATTCTTAAATGTATAATGTGAATAAACAAGTCTATCTTACATAGTTATTCACTGGCTGAAGTTTTAAACCAAGAAAAGATATGAATGGATTTAGTAAACTATAGACGTAGAGGAATAAATTATGGGTACTGAGTTGGTGTGGTGCCTGAGAATAATTCTGGGAACCACCTGTGACTAGTGGACTGAAGATGAACTGTGATACGTTGTTACACAGTTGCTAGGACCTGGTCATTGAAGAGAATTCGAGGAGGGTAGCCTTAGACATACTCTCCACAATGACCTCAGGCTGGACCATTACAGACCTGATGACACCAGAGATCAGTACCCTTTTTGGTGATCAGAAAAGCCAGGAAGAAATTGGCAAAGAGGCAGGAAAGAAAGAAAGAAGGAAAAGGGGGAAAAAGGGATAAGCTCTATGGTCTGTGTATGCATGTGTGCTTAGGTAGACTCTGCTCTCTATCCCCATCCTCATGTCTCAATTCTTACCTGGAGATGCTGATCAAACTCAGACCCCTCCACCACTACCATGGAGATTGGGTGCACTGTCCCTTTGACTCTCCAAGGAGACATGGCTGGAGTTGCAGAGCCCTTCCCTCTCTGCAGCAGCACTGACTGAAAACTCAGGACTGGAGCTGTATCTCAGGTGCAGGAGCCGGAATGCGCTGTTGACTTTTCACATGGAGTGTCTCCTGGGACTCAATCCCAGACCTCCTAGTTAGAGACAAGATGGGGCAATTGTCCAACCTACCAGCAGTCACCTCTTGAGCATAGCTCACTGAGGCAAGCAAAGCAGTGTTAGAGATGCCTGCATTCAGAGTGACCATGTGGGACCCATGGAGGCACTCGCGTTGGTGTTTTTTTCCTTGGATAAGATGTAAGTTAGATCTGTCATTCCCAGCCATAACTTTGAGCATGGCTCTGTCTGGATATGGAGTCCACAATTTCTAATTCGAGCTCAGCCTTCATGGAAGAAACACAGCATTCTCTATAAAATAAGTGAAAAGAAAAGAATAAAATAGATCAGTGATAACAATCGTTGCCTTCAGCTGCCATGTTGTCTATGACCCCAGGGAGCGAGATAGGGCCAATATATTGTATCTGTCGGGGTACTGCTGTGGGTATGTCTGGATTTATTTTGTTTGTGGTAACTATAGCTTACATAAAAATGTGTATAAAGCATATGTGCTGTTTAGAGAATGATAATAAAGTGAATTCTCATTCTCACGTGCCCACGACTTAGCTTAAATAGTATATGACTCAGTCTTTTAGAAAACCTGTGTGCCTCTCTCTGATCACGTTCCTTTTCTCCCCCACTAACCTGACTGTTGTGTAACAATAATTTATTTTTCTTTATAGTTTTACCACTTAAGCATATATGCATAAACCATACAATCTCTGCTTTTGCCTTTTATTATCTTTTTATAATGTATATATTCCCTGTCACTTGGTTATTTTTCTCAACACAATATTTTGATGTTCATTCATGTCAATGTATGTAGCTGTAGGGTGTCCATATTTACTGCTGTCTGGTTCAGGTCAACAATTCCCCACTGTAAACACGCATTGCTGGCTGTAATTTGGATTTCAGATTTTTTTTTTGATGTGGAATTGTATGTATGTCCTCTATGACTGTTCCAGCAGTTCTGGGGCAGTATTCCATAATGAAACACAATATTTACAGAACAGAATGAGTGGATATTCACACTAAGTAGGACTAATAAACAGTATAAATAGCCCTGTGTTTGTTCAGATCATATATTATGATAAGTGAGTTTGCTGGAAACTTTTGAAAAAACTTTCTGTTGTCAGAGCTTTTGGTTATCATAACTGTAGATATGCTGTTGGGTGTGTACTCATATTTGATTATGAGTATTTAAAACTAATTGTTTAAAATAGTGAAGCATAACACGTATACAGAAAACCTTACAAAGCGTAAATATATCACCCAATGAATTATGGCAAACAGCTATGTAACACTACCCAGATCAAGAATTAGAACATTTTTAGCACCCCTAAAGTCTTCCTTGTGCCCCTGTCAATCGTACTCTATTCTCCTACCAGGAGTTACCTAACCACTGTCATATTTCTAACATTATATTTTAGTTTTATTTTTTTGGATTAACAGACACAATTTAAGAGCTTTTTTTTTTAATTGCGGCAAAATATATATACCATAACATTTGCCATTTCATCATTTTTAACATGAATTCAGTGACATTAATTACATCCATCATGTTGTGCAACCATCACCAGTATCCAGTTCTATATTTTTCTATCACCGTTAATGAAAACTCAGTGCCCTGTAAGGAATGACTTTGACTCTCCCGCCTCCTCCCTGTCCCGTGGTGACCACTAATAAACTTTGGACTCTATTGCTTGTTTTTCTTTATTGAGATACGACTCACATACTATACAATTCACCCATTTAAAGTGTACATTTCAGTGGTTTTTAGTATATACACAGAGATATGTAACCATAATCACAATCAATATTTAGAACATTTTCATTATCACAAAAAGTAACTCTGTACCAATGAACAATCACCCACCATTTCTCACCAAGACCTCCATCCCTAGGCAACTGTTAATCTACTTTCTGTCTCTATGGATTTGCCTATTGTGAATATTTTATATTAATGGAATTATTTGATATGTGGTCTTTTATGACTGTCTT